GCACCAAACTGCAGACATTCTGGACAGACTTACAAGGAAAAGAGGGTTACTGAAAGAAATTTTTAAAAGAGAGACGATTTTTAATATTTTGGCCCAATACAAGACATAAAACTCTTTTCAAAACCATCCTGGAGGAAAACGTCAAAGACAAGAAAGCAAGAGGTCGACAACAATACTAATGGGAGGACAACATCGAGAGATGGACAAACAGCAGTCCGAGTGCACTAACCAGACAAGAGACAGAGATTATTAGAGATTTTTTGCAGCCAACATTCATCAGCACCTGAACAATTGAGGCATCAACTTGTTCCGTTGCAAAGATAATTTTCGTCTACTGAATTCGTGTCAAAGTTCGCTTTCTTGTTGAGAGGATCGATTGTTCAGGAACTGTCAACATTCTTTTTTTTTTTTCTTAAACTAACGATACAATTTATAAATGGTATCGTCTCGTACGTTCATAAGCACTTTTCTGCATTCCATGCGATGAAACAGTAACAAGTAATAAGGAGGAATATGAATAACAGCCCAAGGAGATAGTGAGACCCGTCGCAAGTGAAAAAGTTGTTGCTTTGCATAAAACAAAGTCCGGGTGCCTCAACAATTGCTACTTCAGAATGATGACATATCTCTCCTATGAAAACAACACCTGAGTAGAAAGTTGAAGGCCATCGAGCAATAGATGTTCGATCTGTTAGTAAACATGCAGAGTCGAACAGTAAAACTGTGGGCTGGCAGGCCAGCGTCTAGCCACCAATCTTGCATTATGGATATCTGAAATTATCAAACACGTGCTAAACCACAAGGATATTCAATGACAGAAAAGGGTGACTGTCTTGTTACCTGCATGTACTGATTACGGTATCAAGTGTCATGTGACACGTTGTCAGACACCACAATAAGAGACTGATATCTATCTATATCATGGTATCTACTGTTACGGTGTTTTGTTTTTCTGTCAGGATAAAAACACTGGTTATATCGCTACATTGTGGTAAATGACTTTGATTCGACAGCAAGTAATAAGTGGTGGAATTTGGAACTCAAAGCTGTTCTTGAGGAGGCGAATATACGAGAGGACAACATGTAAACTTTACGGACCATCCAGAAAACATGCTTCCATAACGTTAACATTCAGAACGATATACTAATACACCAAGTTAACAAAAAACGAGTTAGTACCTTAACTTTAGGAGAACATAAATATTTAAAGATTTTGCGCGTTAACATGTAGGAAGTTAATATACTTACATAACAAGCCATCGTGTTAACATACTGAAAAAGTACCATAACAAGTCCATACGTAATGACTTATTAGGTTAGTATACAGGTCAACATGCTTACATACGAGTAAGCCAGCTAAAATACTTGACTTCAAAATAAATACACAACGGAACATACCGTTAACATACAGAAGTTAACACGATTACATAGCGGAACATTACACTGACATACATGATTACATACTGACATAACAAAGAAACAAGTACTAAATGCAGAACACAAAATGTTACTCCAAAGCAACCATGTGCTGATGACTCGGATTTCTTGAACAAGGCACATGAATGACTCAAATGTGCAGTGCCTTCGATGTTTCCTCCAGGAGAGTCTTACAGAAATATGACACATAACCCAGACAGAAGCACTCCCCACGAAATCAAAACATTCTCCTGACAGTTCTCAATTTATCCAAGCCTTTCATTCTAAAAATTAGATAAGTGATCTTTTGCGAAATCTTCCACCGTCACCTAAGCATCCTCCATCCGGATCCGGACACTAGAAAGATCTTCAGTGAGAACCCTAGATCGGTCAACCAATGAGACCGTGCCCTTTAAAGACATACTTGTCAGAAACAGATTATTACTGATCCACACAGTAATTACATCGGTCACGTACTCAGAATGGACATATAGAGACTTCCCCACCAAGCCTTCATATGGTCACCAGAGGGTAAAAGAAAACAGGGAAGACCAAAAGAAACTCTCCGTAGAACCATCACAAGGGAGAGCTCAACCATAGGTCTCAGTCGCACTCAAGACCTACATCAAGTGGCAAAGAACCGACAGACGTGGAAAGCTATGACCTCTGCCCTATGCGCCATCTTTGGCACAAGAGGAATAACTAACTAACTAACACAGTACTTCCTGTGGGCACCTCCAAATTATCCCGAATTAGTAGCAAAACATCCATTTGAGATACATCTGTTTACGGTTCGACTCCCTATTGTTTTTTGTTTTAAATTAGTGTGCCGTTTACGTGTGAATCTCCTAAACTTATTTATATCATCATCTTTTCCCCCTCAATGAAATTCAAACTGTTGTCATAAAGTACGTTGACTAATATGCCAGCTGGCATGGTTATTTAGGTATCTAAATATAATTCTGTATCAGATAACAGATTTAAAGTTGCATATGCATATGTGTCCTGTGCTACCAGGGCTAAGCTCCGACTATACTTTAAAAAAAAAAAAATTATCATGTATATGACCAGTTGGCGTAGGCGCTCATGTATCTCCAAAGATCACGATCCCTAGAACAGTTCTCGTGGTGATATTCTTCTGTGCCATTGTTTCAGCTCATCCATCATCATCTCTCTAGGTCTGCCTCTAACCCTCTTCACACTGATCTTTTAATTGTCACGATATTTTCCAGTGTCTCTCTTCTCATTACGTGACTAAAGAACAGTGTTTGTCTCCTTCTTATTGTTGAATCTAAAGAAGTACTTTCATTAACCTCTTTTAAACAAACGTTGTTAGTTACTCTGGCCGTCCAACATATTCGAAACATTCGTCTCAGAAACAACATCTCTGTTGCTTCCAAATTCTTCTTAATTTATCCACTGACATTCCAAGATTCGCTGCCGTACACCGGAACAGGTTCTACGTGAAATGTTAACATTGAAAAAAAAAAATTCACTTACTCATTATTACCAGTTTTGAGATAAGATACTAGAGGAAAGCCATCTGATACAGGCACTAGCAGCTGATATTTGGACAATATATATAAATATTTTAAAGAAATCGATACTCAATATTAAATACATTATAAATTCACAAGTAATAACAATCATCTAGTGTCGCTGCCTGAATATGTTATTACGAAGTTCGAAAACAAGCTTGAAACTTGATGACGATAATTTATTCGATCGTTTGAGTTGAGTTGAGTCAAGAATTGACATCACAGCACTCGGGACATTCCTATGCATGCTCCGTCCTCATCTTCAGCAGCCAGCGCAGAGTTCCAATACTGATGGTACCAATCGTTCAAATAGCTTTAAGCGTATCTGTTTTACAAGGTGACGTTTTAGAACACGGCCAGATTATCCTCAATTTTCCACGGACTGCTTATTCTCCAGAGCTGATGTAAATATTTCCCTTGAGTAAAGTAAGTAAATTTAAAATCAATACTGAAATAAATGAAACAGAAGTCATGAGCAAATGTGAATTCAAGAGGGGGGTTGTAATAATAGAAATGTCTGCGCAACCAGTTGTAATAATAGTTATAGGACAACGAAGATAGTACAATATCAGAGACATCATGAGAAGAAACATCAAAGAGGCACTAAAATGGAAAAGGGGGAGAGGGATTGAGAAAGCGACGATGTGGAAAAGAAACCATACAGCGAATGTTGCTGAGAGAGATCAAAGTTACTATATTTGGTTCCATCAATGATACTTGAGGGATTGCACAGGATACAACAAAATGGAAGAATTGACTGCGAGCCCTATTTAACATATAAAGGCTAAAACAGGACAACGATGATGATGATGATAGTGGTAATGATGATGATGATGGATAAAGGAAGAAAGCACATAACTACTGACTTACAGATTAACGACCAAAGTTTGAAATAAGTGCAAGAACTGAAATACTCCGCAGAGCATCCTTGGAAACAATTGTGGAAGATATTGAAAAAAAAAAGAGAGAGAGGGGGGAAAGAGAGAGAGAGAGAGAGAGAGAGAGAGAGAGAGAGAGAGAGAGAGAGAGAGAGAGAGAGAGAGAGAGAGAGAGAGAGACAAGAATCCAACAAGTTCAAACAAGTTACTTATCATCTTGCAACACACGAATATTTCAACAGTGATAAAAACACAAATTATAATGAAATCGGTATTTTCACTTTAGGTTACCAGTGTCAAACTTGGACAGCAACCAAAGAACACAGAAGAATGCAAACCACCTGTTAATGAGATGTTTGATAAAGACAGAACAAAACCTGAAGAGATCGTGTGAGAAATGGAGAAATCAGAAGAACAATTAAAACAATACCCATCATTAAATTCAATAAGAAACAAAGTGGGAAATTGTTTCGCCAACTGGCGAGAATGAATGAGACAAGGTCAGTAGTGTTAGCGTACAATATTACCTCTTTGAGTACCAAACAACCACCCACGAATGACTGGATATTACTCATGTGCGCCAGTCAATACTTATGTATGTTTGTACATCATATAATAAGTCCGGACATACTCCAGAAATCCTACAGCACATCTGTTTCCTTTACTCCAACAACACGCATATTTCCTTTACTGAATCAACACATATGTTTCCTTTACTCCAACAACACGTATGTTTCCTTTACTCCTACATCACATCTGTTTCCTTTACTCCAACAACACGTATGTTTCCTTTACTCCTACATCACATATGTTTCCTTTACTCCAACAACACATCTGTTTCCTTTACTCCTACAACACATGTGTTTCCTTTACTCCAACAACACGTATGTTTCCTTTACTCCTACATCACATCTGTTTCCTTTACTCCAACAACACATATGTTTCCTTTACTCCAACAACACGTATGTTTCCTTTACTCCTACAACACATATATTTCCTTTACTCCTACAACACATATGTTTTCTTTACTCCTACAACACTGTTCCTTTACTCCTACAACACATGTGTTTCCTTTACTCCTACAACACACATGTTTCCTTTTCTCCAACAACACGTATATTTCCTTTACTCCAACAACACATATGTTTACTTTACTCCTACAACCCATATGTTTCCCTTACTCCTACAACACATATGTTTTCTTTACTCCTACAACACATATGTTTCCTTTACTCTAACAACACGTATGTTTCCTTTACTGCAACAACACATATATTTCCTTTACTACTACAACACATGTTTCCTTTACTCCTACAACACATCTGTTTCCTTTACTCCTCCAACACATATGTTTCCTTGAAGGACTGTCTGTTTTAGGCCCTGTGGATGTAGACCATCTTCCATTTTGCTGCTTTTATTTCTGCCTGAATCAGACATTAGCTACGACTTTTTAAGTTAAAATTGAAACATTAGGAGGCAAAGGCGAAGGAGGATGAGCCGAAGGAGTCACTGGCAGCCTAATACTTCATAACGAAATTTGATCCCAAGTAACCGAGCGTGCCCTCGCTCGGCTGCCTATTCTCCGTTGACCTGCGGCATAAAGCAGATATTCACAGAAGACGATGTAAGTAAAGAATCATTTTCACGTCTTTCTGGCATCGGTCGTGTGATGAGAAACTCACATTAGTAAGACATTATATGTGTGATGTTGTCAGCACCAGGCCTACCACCTTTACTTCCCATGATATTTTCTGATTCACAGTTAAGGTACCGTAGACCTGGGAGTCCATGTTATGGAATTCAAAATCAGCCTCGATTAGGTCTCAAAAACTTACACCTTTTAACCCAAAGGCAGGGGTTTAGACACGCCATTGCAGGTCTAAAGTTTCCTTCTTGTTCCTACTCCCAATGGAGGTTGGCTTCAGGGGACATAAACATAAACTGTAATCTTTGGGTGCTTTACATGGTAAAGCCTTTATTTCCTCCAGTTTTAAACTCTTGTTCTACTGAACAAAAGCGACATGACTGGTTGTTCACTAAACCACTTCCAGCTGAACCCTGTGGTGAATAGGTTAATGACATATATTCTTTACATTTGTTTCAATAATCTAAAGCAAGAGGATGGAGAAGTTTCATAAATAACATTCATCCAACACGAAACGAACTAAGATTTGTGAATACAGATCTTCTTCTTCTTCTTCTTCTTCTTCTTTGTTCACTTGTAATCTCCGACTGAAAGTCCTGTTGTTCGTCCATTTGAACTTTGGCTTTTTGCCAGAACCTGTTTTACGTGTGCATCCTTTTTAATGTCTTATTTGTGTGCAGTTTATTGTTCCTTGTCGCTCTGGCATATGCACTCCGACTTCCGAGGAAGTTCCCTGTTACTCGACTCTTACGACATGCTTTTCTTTAAAAAGTAGGCAGTGGGTCTATTTTTGTTATCCACAATGGGGCCTGGGAAACCACAAAGGAAAGAAAAAAATCATGCAGGCTTACGCCATCTCACAAGCTGCGTCTACACCTTTTCATTGCCTAGTTCTCTAATCTCTTTTAAAGTCACTTCATTAAGTTACCCACGTGCTGCAGTCATGCACTCACAAAATACGGACCACTTAGATAAGAAAATGTTAGGGTATATATTGTATGACATGGTGACATTTCTACTTTGTCATTTGTTGTCAACCGGTAGCAGCTTGAGGAAAAGGCACACTTGCGAGTGAACAAGATGTATAAGCTTTGCATTCTTGTCCTTCTGGCTTGTATTGCCGTTCTGTGAGTTTTGAGTTATATTTATTATTTACCTCATTCAACTAGCTCATTTTTGTTTCTTTTTATGAGTCAGTTTGAAATGATTGAGGTTTTAGCTGGCCAAGAGTGCCCGATTAGATTCTATTCATAATATTGGAAGGATATTTTCACGCCTTTAGGCGAATAGGGCATATAGGACTAGACCTTTATTTTTATAGACCAATCGGCACAAGATGGGTGCTATAATCAGCATCACGCCGGCCGCCTCTACTTCCCTGCACTGCACCCAGTACCCACTGAAGGCTGTGTCGACCTGCTAACCAAGCGGTAGCCGCTCCGCCTCGGTGACTCCCGTGGTTTACTTTTATATTCAATGAGTAACTCATTATTACTGGGGTCAACATTTAGAATTACAGAATGGTAAGACTGTAACTAATCCTTCTCTAGATTTAATTTCATGGTTTCGCCTATAAGGGAAATCACATGTTTTTCTCCATTTCTCTACTTCATCTTTGTCTCTAAAGCTGACGTGTGGTTAGTCATTGCTCCTAACTATACGTGAGGCTCCTAACGGCCTATGAACCTTTCCACCGACCTAAAAATTTGACTGAACAGCAAAATTTGTCTTTTTTTCCTTTAACCTAATTATTCGTCGGGGAAAAAGTAATATCTGGGTTCTAAGGCAATTAACTTCGGTGAATGTTAACTGCTAATGTGCCGTTAATTATAAGAAATATGTAGCAACCTTGTTGTAAATTGCACAATAAACCTGGACACTGCAGTCAGAATGACACCTGCAAATGTCACCCCTCTACGAGTCACCATTTGGGACATGAATTTGTGACAGACACCAGACAAACAAGCACAATTATTTTAAGTTATCTTCACTACACATTTGGAGTCGCCGTGGCGTTGGCGTCTAGACGCCCGCCTGCAGATCGGAAAGTAGTAGGTTCGCGTCCTGACGGAGCCTGACTTTTTTTTCAGAAAACACCTTGACTTCCAGGTGGACCCAGCCTTGAGTGGGTCCCAAGTGCAGTCCTGGAAAGTTAAGGCGGCCGACGTGATGCTGACCACATCACCCACTAAGTGTCGATTGGTCTAAAAAAAAATATAGGTCTAGCCCTATATTCCCAAACCGCACAAATTAGTAGAAAAAGGCCCTTAATTTTTTTGTGTTTTTTTTTTTTAACTTTACTAAAAATTACAAACTCTTTCTGTATTTCGTGAATAAACTGTATCAGGTCTGGAAGCTGAAATATTTTTGTTATATCAAGCGCCATGGCAAATTGGGAAAAAAATATAGCAGGAGGCCTGGTACCAAGAAGGAGTTTCAGAAGATGATCACAGGATATAATGACTCCTTGAGTATGAAAGTACAAAAGGAGGGAGAGCTGTCGAGAGACCGAGTTACTTTCAGGCAGACCGTGATAAGAGCGACGTTCTGCATGATGATTATATATATATATATATATATATATATATATATATATATATATATATATATACACACACACATAAAATATGCTTCTTTGCGATTGGTTATATATGCTCAGGTTATCAGGTGTGTTGCCTCCATGAACCAGCACGTCAGTAGCAAGTCTCCAAGGGTTCCCCAAAACTTGTCCTGGATGCCTCTTTAACCCATGTATTTTCTCGCAGGTTTTACTGTAGGGTACAGTTCTGTAGTATGTGCTCAAGCCTTTGGAGTGCGGCTGCGAGTGTGGAACCTTCATTCTGTGCACGTGTGTGTTAAGTCTGCAGTGTCCTGCTCTTAGTCGAAAATGTGTACTGTATTCTGTTAAAAACTGTTTGCTCAGCGACTCAATGAAAATGCAAGAGAAGATCAAGGCGGCCTGCATGCGGAAATAATGGTTCCATCCAATACAGCACGCAGCGTTTCGCCTTCATGTTTGTCCCATGGTATACTGATTTGAAATGCAGTGAGAGAGCTGACGCTCTGGCTGGCAGTGCGACTACCGGGAATGTGCTCTCTATAGACAGGAGAGACATCATCAATGCCATAGGAGAATCTAAACGCTGTGACGCTTTCATATCATAAGAAAATGATTTTTTACTGAATAGACTGTATACCTTGCATGTACCAATTGGAGCCGTGAGACAGGAAAACCATGCGGGAGTCACCTGTCTTTACATCAACGAGAACAGAATGAGAGTTGTTAACCTAAAAACATTTGGAGACATACATAGGAGGAGACTGGAGCACGTATGGTCATGTCCGATGTGCGATGAAGATAATCTTTAAAATAAACAATGACCAATAGATTGTTTATTGATTCTCTTGATTTAAGAGTGTTTTTTCTCCGCCTCCAGGAATTTCTGAACTTGATCAGTGTTTTTAGTTCTTACATTATGACAATTTTACTTATGGTAACAATTTCTAACGGACACACCCTTAACTCTGTCTAGAGATTTGTCTTGAAAAACTGAGAAACGTTAGAGCAAAATTGTTCTCATTATTTCATTTGTGCAAACGTCAGTTGTTTATAAATTGTGAACGCAGGTATGTAATTTCGATACATCAGGGTTCAAAGCGATGGCAAGCTACTGAATGCAAAAATCGTCAAGTCAAACTACACAAAGGCTGTCAAGTCCTGTTCGGCTTTTCTTTTTTTTTTTTTTTTTTTTTATTAGTTCAATGCATCAAATGTTTAGTTTACATTATACAAGGTTAAAAAGGTTAAGGCTAGAACACAAAATGTATCTTTTGCGCTTTTTTTTTATTCCTATCACGAAACTCTCTTGTTCAGAAACGCCAAGTACCCAGAAGTACATTCAGAAGTAGCCGTCAAGCTGTTCAAGGAGTGGCGAACTCAGCACGACAAGACATACAGGTCAACGGATGAAGAATGGTACAGGTGGGTACATGCGAGGCAGCTTTATCTTACTGAGATAAATGTATATCTGTAATGAGTCGCGCGACAACATTTAGTAGTTACTGATAATTATTATCAACCATTTAAAAAAAATGAAGATTATAGTAACACAATGAACATTAATAATAAAGATTGCTCAAATTAGAGTTTCAGAAAATATAAAGGTGTATGTGTTAATATCTAAAACTGAAATCATAAATTAAAATTATTATTATTTGCAAACATTATCTTAATCACGTGCAAGATAAATTAAAATTGATTATTTCCACAAAGGAAAGATAACGACAGTACAAATTAACTAACAAAAACGATCCAAGTTATCTTAGTAAAGATGTGTGACCACATAGTTATCTAGGCAATAATGTACATAAAGATAGGAGATCAAACAGAGAAATAAAAATGTGAATACAAAATGCAAGGCATGTTTTCATAACACTGAAAAAAACAGTGGATTTCAAAGGATAAATCTAGTACAAAAGTTGAAATATTTCGCTTTAATGTCAAAATAGAGCTCAGAAACTAGCTGCAAGTAAATAAAGAACACCTTTAATTAAATTCATTGAAAATCAAAGACTGATATGGTTTGGTAATTTATTGAGAATAAATTCAATGCTGCCAGAAACGAGAACATACAAAGTGAACGCAGAAACACCAAGATGTATAGGACGATTAAGAAGGACATAGATTAAAGGAGTCACTAATACCTAGAGAGTGCGCAACATCACAGCATACCGGGCAACCAAGCCCTCCCCAAATTTACAGCTAGGCCATATCTGCACCTTTTAGCCCATAAATAAACAGAGGGGGAACCTTTGAGGCCGTTAAATATTATGAAACAATCAAGTAACAGAAAGTGTATTGATAGGCACTCATAGAAAGAAGTAGAAAGATAGAAGAACACACTAGACAACATACAAATCGAAAGCTATAGTTACCGTGCCGGGAATTGAACCTGTCACCTCCAGGCGGCGTCTGCCTGCTGTCTACTTCTTTCTATGAGTGCCTATCAATACACTTTCTGTTACTTGATTAATTCACCTTTCAGCCCAGCACAACCGATTTCAACAAAATACTAATTAGTATACTTTCACGACATGCTTGTTAGGGAGCCGTGAATCTGTTATACCGACCCCCCCCCCCCCACCCTCCATCCTTTCCCTAAAAGCGGCCCCGACGCCCACACAGGAAAGCCTATTCTATACCAGCTTTTTAACTAAATCCCCCCCCCCCCCCCGGTACTGTAATTATATCTTATAGCTTCGCCCATTTATGCTCACACATGTCTTACTTTAAAAGCATCAAATGTTTAAGATGCAACGAGATACAGTTACATCTTCCTATGACTGAAAGAGTTAAACCAGCTTAAGTTACAAAATAACGGTTGCTAGCTATGCTAACAAAATCATTAGATAAAGATAAATGGTTCTTGGCAAAGGTAATTCTTGTTTTTTAAATAAATTTGTGAATTCGTATGCTGGTACGTTTCTATGCAACCATACAAAGCTGTCACGAATATTAATAATGGTGGTAATGATGAAAATGAGGCAATGATAATGATGGCAACCATTTTGTGATGATAAAGATAATTATTCTAATGATGATAAAGAGAATAAGCTGGAAGGCTAACCCGGTTAACAAATTCATGCAGAAGCAGAGTGTTTTGGCCGAAATGCCCAAATATCGCAGCCAAGCTGTAAACGGGCAAAACGCAATTACATATTCGAATAAAACAGAAGAAGATGTAGAAGATAACGATAACAATGACTTCAGCGATGATAAAGAGGGTAGTAATTGTAATGATGATAATATTATTGATAATAATAATCATATCAATGATTTTAATTATGGTAATTACTGTAATTATCATAATGTTATTTGTGATATTAACGGTGGTAATCTTGATAGTACTATCAGTAATGATGACTTGGCAATGATAATAATGATGAATACTATACAATTTTGGCCTTTTTTGGCAGATATGGCGTCTTTCTGGACAATGTGAAGGTCATCAACAGTTTGAACGGCCTCCCAAAGAAGCATGGATCTGACTCTGCTCACTTCGGTCTGACAAAGTTCGCTGACCTCACACTCGCCGAATTCAGAAAGACCGTACTGCAGCCACCTAGGCCATCTTTCAAGGTGGAAAACAAGGTAATACTTTCAGGCTATAAGTCAGTCAGAGAACATTGGAGAACATCGTGACACCTGGAAAGATCAGTGGGAAAAGAAGTAGAGGCAGATTAAGAGAGATGAAGCCCATCCAGCATCATCTCTCTTGGTCTGACTAAAACGATGGCGTGGAAGGATATCATCAAGAGAGCTGTTCCAGTCAACCAGGAATCGTGATCTGTGGAGACGCATGAGCGCCTACGCCAGTTGGCAGGGCACATGATGATGACATCAGTCTGGGTCAAGGTAGCTCAGTGGCTAGTACACTTGCTCACCGGAGCGCTTATTGTGAGTTCAAATCTACATCAAGGCTGAGTTGTTAAAACTTAACCGGGATATCTATACCGTCATCCTAAAATACATCGGTGTCTATGGTTTATGCGTTGCGAGCGCGATTCGCAATGCCGGGTTGCGGGTTCGATCCCAGCTGCGGAGATTTGTCATGCGTTGGTTTCCACAGTGATACAGAAAGCTGACAGCTCCAACTGCCAAGGGATTTTTTACGTGCGCAACAACACACACGGACGTATCTTACTACCCAGAGAATAGGGGAAATTACTAGAAATCCACGTGAAAAAATCCCACCTTTCACCGGAGCCTGAACTCGGGACCTCCAGCACTCGAGGTGGACGACATGAATCGAGATCGTTGAGCCCTAAAATTCAGATTAAAGAATGACAACATTTTAGGATTACTATTATACAACAGTGATTGTTAGAAAATGACAGAAGCAATTTCAATACACTGAATACTTTTAAACAACAACAACAATGTCGAAGGAGAATCCTGCGAATTGTTTTGCTAAACAAGATCAAAAATTAAGAAATGATAAGAGAACAACACGTATCATTGCGAAATGTTATCAAAGGAAGAATATGAAGACGGCTTGTGTATATTACCAGAATACCTCATACTCTCTCTTCTTCTTCACGTTCACCAGCTGTAAACTCTGGCGGAAAGTTCTGGTTGTTTATCCATTTCTGGACTGCAGTCCTATTCCAGAACCTGAGTATTGCTTGTGCATCCGTTTTACAGATTGACTCATTCGTATGCAGACTGCTGGTTCCTTGCCTCTCAGGCAAATGCACTCCGACTTTCAAGGAAGATCCCAATGAGTCTACTCTTACGACATGCTTTTGGGTAGGCAGTGAGTATTTTCTTGTTTTCATTATAACATGGCCCCGGAACCCACACGGGGAATACACTTTGACAAGGACAACTGTCTGATTGACTGCAGATTTGAAAGCGTGGTGGACGACCTCATGAAACCTAGAGAAGGACAGTAGAAAGAGAAAAAAGAAGGAATAAAAAATGACAATGAATATCATAAGCAAAAGCAGCAAACCAGCAGTAATGGAGATCACTTGTAAATGCCTTTTGTATCAACAACATGAAGAGGATATAGAGATATTATTCCTGATAAGCTATCGATCTCCATTTTTGCACACACTCATTTATTTTTTTATTTTTTTTTTGGCTCCTAAGCGAAATCATAGCCAATACATTCAGGTCGTTGCGAGTCCGACTCGTAAGCCAGCATACCGCGATCGAAACCCACTGCAGGCTGCATGGATTTTTGTCGTGGTATGGGACGTCGCAGGTCGACCCAGCCTAAAATGGGTACCAGGGTGGGCTGTCCTGGGAAAGTAAAGACAGCCGGCGTAATGCTGACCACATTACCCACAGAGTGCTGATGGTCTGTAAAAATATGGTACGCTCTGCCCATATGCCCGATGCGCCGAAAGGCAGGTCAGAAAATAATCTTTTTCTTTCTTCCTCTTTTTCTTCTTTTTCTTTCGTTGGTTTGAAATAGATTATCTGTATCTGCTGTGTTGTCTCTAGTATAAACTTCACTGTCTGTTGTAAATCACTCAGCGACCCGTAAAGTATAGCATGCACCGGTGTTTCTCTTGGCCAAAAGTTTTTACCTTGATATGTACTTTTTTGGACAGTCATGGAGGACGTTATTTCAGGTGCTATCTCACATGCCAAGGCATTAGGGTATGATGTGTGTTGTACTGGTTAGTGAAATAGGAGTAATCCACAAGGCAGACACGAAGACGATGCAGAGATAATACCCAAGCAAAACTATCAACACAGAGGAAAAAAATGTCAGTCACAGAAAAGAATGATGAAGAAAAACATGTTACATTGACAGAAGTAGCATTAAAAAAGAAATGGCACAGCGTAGCCACGGATCCAACTCTGGTTTGAATATTATCAGAGAAGACTTGTCACACGATGCAAGGGCGATTCAACTGACGGCCCGCGGGCCTAAATCTGGCCCGTTGAGGCCTAGTAAGTGGCCCACAGATCACTGCCATTTGTATTGTATAAATGATCTTTCTAAGTTGGGGCTTGGGTCTATGGCCCGCGATGATCTCCATTTTCAACATGTTGGCCTCTGAGTAACTTAGCTGAAAAGCCCTGCTACACGAAGGTAATGAAATAACCGAGGTAGACAGACTCTTCAATTTACTGTCTTGTCCTCTCTGCCTGTTTTTAGATTCGCAAGTCCAACCACACTGTGAAAGCTCCTGCCTCTTACGACTGGACCAGCCAAGAGGGTGTGGTGACATCTGTCAAGGACCAGGGAGCCGTGGGAACTTGTTGGGCGTTTGCTGGTCTTGCTAATGTGGAGGTAAGCAGTGAAAGGTGACGGGCATTTTTGTACTATTGTCACATCATGGATATGGTGCCAGATTCACATGTGAATAGACTAATCTGAATTCGCCGGGTGATGATATCAACATTGTACCGGCTATCTTTATTTCCAGAAACATTTCTTGGTACAAATTTAAGCTGAGTTGACCTAGTGGCCAATGCCAATTATTTTCTTTTAATCTAAGCTGAATAGCACTTAGCAAGTCATGCAAGCGTCTAATCATAGACTATTGCAACCCCCCCCCCCCCCCCCCCAACCCTCCACCCTTTTTCCCAATATAGAGGTAATCCTAAATTATTATTAATTATTGTGTATTAATTTATTATTTCATTAATTTTTGTTGCTTTTGAAGTATGCGTATATGTTGTGCCTATTCACTAAAGAGTTCTACTATTGTTTTCCTTCCGTCTGACACTTTCTTCATCTTCTGACATTTGTTGATCAGAATAACTTTCGGTTCTCTGGAGGTTTTTGTACAGCATCAGAGTTGTAACATCCAATATTATTGTTTATTTCAATTCAGTCAAAGAAACCTGTTAACGATATCACATGTCTGTGGCCCCAACTGTTTGCCTGTTTTCTTAGTGCTCAGTTTTCAAGGCTTTGTGATAAAGCTTATCCGACCTATCTCAAGAAAATAAAGAATGCTTTACTAACAGAAAATACAGCAATGTTTTGCATTTTTGGGAGCTAACATAAGAACCAGCATCACGGCATACGTTGTATCTCTTTAAACTCTCTAGTCTTTATGCGCTTTAACAGAAGCGCAGATACACTATAATTATTCTAGTTGCAGCTGTTTATTTGTTCGATCGCGTTGCATTTCTTCTGAGCGCTATCTGCCATATCCTTGCTTTTTGCCGTTTCCCATTAGATCACTCTTAACTAGACTGTGCACGATCAGCCAATATGTCTGCTTGCTTATGTCTCAGTACGCTGTCACTTCCTGGTTTCAAGATTCATAAAACTGCCCGGAAGATTAACACAACATTGTAAAAATAGGCACCGGACAATTTGTTCAAGTTCTCTCTCTCTCTCTCTCTCTCTCTCTCTCTCTCTCTCTCTCTCTCTCTCTCTCTCTCTCTCTCTCTCTCTCTCTCTCTCTCCCTCTCTTGTTATATCCCACAAGGACATCATACAAGCAATAAACGCTCAGTGACACAAAGTGCCACTATGCGGATGAAGGATCACCAGTGGAGAGGTCCCAGAAACCCCTTTCAGCTGTTATGCCATATTCATAACCCGGTTAAATTTAGGGGCCCCGGCAAAGGCCAGGAAGGGGCATTACAATCAATAAAGGGACGACTGATGACTACTACTGCTATTCAAGGTCTGGAATACTTCTGAAAGCTTCTTGAGAGCAACGGGGAATCAAAAATCGCAATATTTAAGTATGTCATGGCCTAAAAATGAGAAATTTTTGCTGTTAATACCCCAATAACAACACAAAATTAAAAAAAATAAAAACTGCTATTATGTTATATTTTTTTATTATTATTATTTGTTTACACAAACCAGCAAAAAACATGATTATTTCCTGATAGTAATTTCCCGTGGAAACATTATTCCGATGGGAACATCAGTAGTCCTTTGGCTGGCATGCTTGCTTGTCGCTCAGGTAATTATACTTTGCACGTATCCACACAACGGTGAGCTTTTTCTGTAATGCTGATGAGTGCAGGATTTGTGCTGGAAGATAACCCATCACAGTGCAAAAACAGGAAAGTAAAAGCGGCAGACCTGATGTTGACCATTTTCCATATCAAATGCACAAGAATTATTCGGCTAGAAAAAAAAAAGGCATATAAAATGTCATCCTTTCACTTATCCTGTTTATTGCTTCCCCACATTCAGAGTCTGTGGAACCTTCAGTCGGGTCAGACTGTGGACCTTTCAGCGCAATCCTTGAACGACTGTGACGGGATTGTTGATCTGCAGACGTCTGCCCTGGCTTGTGGACCTCTGGGAGCTACCATGCCTGGTTTCTATGAGTTTATTATTGTAAGTTGTCACATTTTTTATGGTCGTGTTAATTCCATGGTGGCAGGTAGACTAAAATCGTACTACATTACTAGGATCGTACTATTGCACTACGATCTCACTGATTTGCAACACCCATACTGATTGTTGGGTAATAATACTTAGAAGTACCGCTTTATTTTACAAGGAAAACACTAAATTACTAGTACCTATTTATCAGGAATTATAGAACAACATTAAATTACAAAGTCAAAATTATCTGCTAACATCACATTACTTTACTAATACAACATCAGTATACATGGACCGCATCTTTTACTGACACACAACTAACTGACTGACTAGCAAAATACTTAACTACTGTAACGAAATTATTTTAAAAAGATAACTGAAACAACATTACTAAACAAAAACCACAATACTTTACCAGGAAGACACTAAATTACTACGATCACAATACTTTATTAAATCAACATAACTGTATTATTAAAAGAAGCTGCTTTAATAGCAAACTCAACGAAAAATTGATTAGTTTAGTTTGGACAGACGATATTACTTTAGATACATTCTCTTCTGTAGAAATACATAAGTATAAAATTGATTGAAATAGGCTAGTAATTTCAACTAATGTGAATTACAGTGTTTCATCTGAGGTGGCGTTATTCTTGTAAACTAAAGTTTTCTTGGTAGCTATGTTAGCTTCAGCTATGTCACTTGTATGTCAAAACAATTCATTATTCTACGCATTAGAACAGGACACAATTGACTTCGCAGCCACATGACACAAAATTTAAGATTTGTAAAAAATTATTGTGTATATGTGAATTGGCACCTAAGACAACAGAAGACATTCTCCAAGAGTGTCCCAAATACAAATTATCCAAGCAAAACTTTTGGCCAGGAGAAACACCGGTGCAACCTAAACTTTGCGGGTCGCTGAGTGAATCACAAGAGTCAGAAGTTCATACATGGGACAACATTGCAGATATATATAATTTATTTCAAGCGAATGAAAGAAAAAGAACTTGTGTGTCATTTTTATTTTTGTTCAGTTCGCTGTTATATGTTGGTGAAGACTTCCTAGCCCTAAAGTTCATTTTGTTAACTGATGACTGTTTGACTTCCGGTCCGGTATGGCCGCCAGATGACCCGACTGTTTAGTTTTGGCAAGTTATTTGCTTCCGGCCACTGTTATCTGTTGCGTTTTATCCCATGTGTGGGATTGAAAATACGAGTATATAGTCCGTCACTCAACTACTGAGTTAGGTACATGACGCGACATTGTGACCTTCGGGGTTTTTTTTTTTTTATGTTTCTCGACTGTGCTCAGAGTGGTTATTGGTATAAACTGCAGATCGTAAAATTAATTGTGGCTTTTTGCCACAGACCTGGTGTTGCTTTATGCGATTAGCTGCGTGTGAAACTGCTGGAAGAACATCTTATGCAATGTATCTTTGTCACTGAGGGTTAGAACAAGAATTCTTGCTAGCTACATACATCCAGTTTTAACATATGGCAGTCAAGTCCTGGACAGTCGGTAGGCAGGCCAAACAATTTCTTTAGGCCTCAGAGATGTGGTTTTGCAGAAGAATGTTTAAAATACCTTGGACAGCCAAAAAGAGCAGCCAAGAGGTTTTAAAAGCCCGAAGACAAATTATCCCAGACATCAGAAGGAGACAGTCATCATTTTCCGGTCATGTTATGAGAAAAGGGAAAATGGAACATGTTGTGACCACCTGGAAAGATCTGTGGAAGGAGGGATAGAGAAAGACAAAGAGAAAATATTCTTGGCAGTCTTGTTCCATGGCATGGAGGTGTGTCAGCACACGAAAAGAAACATGCTGCAGGAAATGGCAGATTGGTGGAGAGGCATGATCGCCCACGCCAGTCGGCAAGGCACCTGATGATAATGATTTGATGCTTTGGCTTTGCTGAGTCTGAAATCAACTTCAATTTTGTTCATGAGAAACATTGATTGGCATTCTGTGTGATTTTCGCTGGCACAAGTAAAGCTTAGTCATGGCGGTGACCTGTTTGCCTTGAAGCTGGAATTGCAGTTAACTGATTAACTCATGATGTTATTGCTATCTGTGAAAGTTGACCAGTCATGTATTAAATGTATACACAGAGAGAAGGCGGTATAATGAGATGGTCGGACTACCCTTACTGTGTGGGCACTGGGGCATGTTCACCCTGCGCACCAGAAGGATACAGGTAAATATTATATGTATTATTGTTTTGTTATTTGTTGTGGTGGTTTTGATCTTCTTCTTCTTCCACCGGCTGTAAACTCCGAGAGAGAGTTCTGGCTGTTCATCCACCTCTGGTCTCTAGACTTGTTCCCGAACTTGAGTTACGTGCACATCCGTTTTACAGATCTGACTTATTTGTAGGTAGACTGATGGTTCCTTGCCTCTCAGACAGATACCCTCTGACTTCAAAGAAATCCACCGATTAGTCTACTCTTGCGACATGTTTATTGGGGAGGCAGTGGGTCTATTCTTACTGTAGTCACAATAGGGCTCCGGAACCAACACCGAGAGGTAGTTGCGAAGAAACGATCAAGATGATGATGATGAAGACCGACTTCCGCTGACGGGCCATGATGCTGACGTCATTTAAACGTATCCTAGCCTAGTTTGTTGACGTCAACTGTATGGCCCGTCAGCTGGAGGCGGTCTTGGTTCGTATTTGCTGAAAAGCCCATATGAATAATAGCATCTAGTTGTATATGCCCTATTAACCCAGCGTAATAGTAATATTGCCATGGTGGTCGCATGCAGAGGTTGTGATTTGGTGGGTGGCAGTGGCTGTGGCGGTCCTATTGATATTGGCGGAGAAGGTGGTGACGGGGCAGAGGTGGTGGTGCTAGTGGTGGATGTGGCAGAAGTGGTGGTCATGGGGGTTGTGGTGGTGGTGATGGCGGTAGTAGTGGCAGAGGTTGTGGTGGTGGTCTTAGTGGTGATGGCAGAGGTGAGGTTAGACGATGGCTGAGG